GCAGTTAATTCACTTAATTCTGGTTTCATACTTTAAGCATTTATTCTTTTCCAATAAATTTCTCATCCTTGCTATTTTATTACGATTTTCCTGTTATGCTTCCTACTTTCCTTTTCTCCTTCCTCTCATCTTTTTGTTTCCTTTTTCCTTCACAGCTGTACTGTGAGTAATCTCCTCTTTGCCTCTCATCCTGATTAGGCTGACTCTAGCAGAGTACCATGAACAGGAAGAGATCTTCAAACTGCGACTTGGACATCTGAAGAAGGTTTGTTTGTGATCACATATTTTTCATAATCACTGCAAATTGAATACAGTACTCTTTTTTTTTTTTTTTTTTTTTTTTTTTTTTTTTTTTTTTGTTTGTTTGTTTGGTTGGTTGGTTTTTGCAGCAATTGGCTTCAGTCATTTTTTTAAACATGTGCAACAATCTAGTGTCATTACTTGGTGTGAAGCTTAAAACTCAACTATTAGAAATTAATTAAATGCTTTGATTTCCCACCTTGTTTAAGACCAGTCCAGCAGTTTTACTTTGGCAGGTTGTGATGATCTCCTGCTCTCATCGCTGTCGGTTCTCTAAAGTTGCCTCTTTGCATTTGTGTGTTTACGTGCTTGAATCATTTATAGGAAGAAGCTGAGATCCAGGCTGAGCTGGAGCGCCTGGAGAGAGTCCGCAACCTTCACATTAGGGAGCTGAAGAGAATAAATAATGAAGACAGCTCCCAGTGAGTCTATATATAATCCTTTGACAGATGCTGCATTGACATTGGAACGTAATGCGCACACACGGATACCATCAACAGCCACTAAACTTGCTTTAAAGTCTGTTATTGCTTGACTAAAAGCTGCGTGGAGAATGAGCTGAAATAATAAATGATGTTTTTCTCCCGTTCTCCACCTTAAGATTTAAAGATCACCCCACGCTAAATGAACGGTATCTGCTCCTACACCTCTTGGGTCGGGGAGGCTTTAGTGAAGTTTACAAGGTAGGCTTGAAAGTGTTGCTGTCTCAGATTAAAGACTTAAAGGTCACCTGGTGCTGGGTTGTTTAAATAACATTACTACTTGTGCCCTTCAGGCTTTTGACTTGATTGAACAACGATATGCTGCTGTGAAGATTCACCAACTTAATAAGAACTGGAGAGAAGAGAAAAAGGAGAACTATCACAAGTATGTGGGTCTAATGGGAAACCAATAGTTCATAATCTACTGTGTCTTGACCTCTTTTTTTTGTTTGTTTTTTTTTTTGTTTAATGATGTAAAAACCACCTCGTTTTTGCCAGGCATGCATGTCGAGAGTACAGAATACACAAGGAGCTGGACCATCCCAGGATCGTAAAACTTTACGACTACTTCTCACTGGATACAGACACGTCGGTATCTGCCTGGACTCTTGTTCTTTCCGTGGTCTCTTGTTCGATGTCTGCTATAACCATTGACATTGATTCATTGAACAGGTTTTGTACCGTCATGGAGTACTGCGAGGGCAACGACTTGGATTTCTACTTGAAGCAGCATAAGCTAATGTCTGAGAAAGAGGCGCGGTCTATCGTCATGCAGATCGTGAACGCACTAAAATATCTAAACGAGATCAAACCTCCCATCATCCATTATGACCTTAAACCAGGTAAACGCACCATCTGAGTGCTTACCGCCTCTTAACGTTTGATCACAGGTTCAGTGTTGACCTTACTGTACTTTGACATGCAGGTAACATCTTGCTGGTGGACGGCACAGCCTGCGGGGAAATAAAAATCACCGACTTTGGTCTTTCCAAAATAATGGATGACGACAACTACGGCGTTGATGGGATGGACCTGACGTCGCAGGGGGCAGGAACCTACTGGTGAGGGAAACATGCATGAAGGCATCATATTTATAGAGAGCTGTTTAAAGGATTTACAAAAATAAACTTACCAATGCTCCTGGTTAATTCAAGTTGTATTCAATGTGTCTAAATATTCCTCCAAAGACCTTAAACCGTATTGATCTGATTCAAAGGTACCTTCCTCCTGAATGTTTTGTGGTTGGTAAAGAACCGCCAAAGATCTCCAATAAGGTGGATGTGTGGTCAGTCGGTGTCATCTTTTTCCAGTGTTTGTATGGAAGAAAGGTGAGACCGATATTTTGATAATATTTGTCTTCTGGTAACTTGAGCCTGAACCAAGTTTTCCCTGTTTTCCAGCCGTTTGGCCACAACCAGTCGCAGCAGGACATTCTGCAGGAGAACACTATTCTCAAAGCTACTGAGGTCCAGTTTCCTGTAAAGCCAGTCGTCAGTAATGAAGCTAAGGTAGGAGACTTGCTTGTTTTGGATTGTTTTACGAAGGTGTGTCTTTATACGTTTGCTATATATTTATTACCTGTATTGGAAAGTTTCAAAAATGAATATGTTTCCAGCTCTAAGCTGCCTCGGTACAGTGTAGCGGTTCTAAACTAGAAAGATCTGATTATATAAAAATAACTTGATTATATCTTATGTTTGGTTGTAACATTTGACCTTTTCTCGTTTCAATTATTCGAACTCACACTGGTTTTTAGATGTCATATTCTAGGCCGTCACATGTTGATTTACAGCAATTCTATATTATTCAGCATGTTAAGGTATAGTAAGCCTTTAATTTGATATCTTTTAATATAGCAGTACACACAAAACAAAAAAACCTAATTAAAGTACATTTATAAATCAGGGAACAGCACAAATTTTATTCTGTTTTATGAAAATTCCTCTAATTTATTAGACTTCTTATCAGAACCATTTTTATTCATACCTTTTACGTTTGAGAGTCTGGGAACATTTAATGCATGATCTATTATCACATTTCCAGGAGCTTGGCTTGTTTTGAGGCTTATTACTGCAGTTATTAGAAATAAATTACATGGGTAAAAATTTACTCCAGAAAAGGTGCTTGGTTCAGAGGCGATGCATTTTTTAAAAATTTTACTAGGGATATTAGGATAGAGTTTTGTAGAGGAAGACATCAAAGTTCTTTAAACTCATTCAAGTTTTTATCAACGCATTTATTCATTCATATCAGTATAAGTTGTCTAAAGCTTGTTGTTTCTCTCAACCTTCAATGAAATAGATTTTTAAATTGTTCACTGCTGCCGGTGAGAAAATGGAGTAAATTCTCATCAAGACTTGATCAACGTAACAGTATATCAGAACCCGGAGGTGTTTATTAGAAATGGCTCAAATCAACTTTGCAGTCTAAACTGTAAGAACCCAGACTGGACAACAATGAACAGGTTTTCCTTTTTCCTCCCTTCAGGCCTTCATAAGACGCTGCCTGGCCTACAGGAAGGAGGATCGAGTCGACGTTCTCCAGCTGGGAAGCGACCCCTACTTGCTCCCTCAAATGCGAAGATCGAGCTCCTCTGGAAATCTACAGATGAGCGCTGCTAGCGCTGGCTCAGCCTCATCCAGTCTCATCTCATACTGACAATTTTGAACTTTTTAAGAGAAGCCAAGCAAGAACTGAAGTTGCAACTATGAGGCTCATCGGGAGGCCTGGACTTGTGACCGGGGCAGCAGAAAGAACAGGACCGGAGCGGGGGGATGTTTGTTGGCCGCCTCCGACCTGCGCCTGGATTCTTCTCCTTTATCAGGACTTTTATCAGCGGAAGGATGGAGAAGTCGTGTTTTACAGAACGTGTGTTGGGATGGGCGTCCAACAAAAGCACTGAAACTATGTATTTTGAAGAAAATGTGACTGGACACCCTGTAGAGAAGTTCCAGATGGATGGAGCATTCAGTGGCTGAATGGAGATTCGGCTGTGTGCCATTTGATTTAATAAGACTGTCCTGCCAGGATGCAAATGATTCAGCTGCTAGAAGTTAATTTACTGTGAGGAGAAGTCAGTCATCGTTATGTAGAATTAAAGAAATTTCACTATTGATTTGGATAATTGTTCTGTTTTTTTTGTTTCCTCCCCCCCACAAATGTTAGGCTTTAATTTGAGTAACTTAGCCATGGGAATGTAATGTGTAGCATATAAGTGACATCTAGTGTCATGTAGGCTGGAGCAGCATACTTACATACATTAAATGCACAAAGTAACCAAATGTAGAAAAATGTGTAAAACCCTATGCAGGAATATTAACGTATAAATTGGAAACTGTATATGCTGTATAGGTGAATTTTCAAATTTTGAGCTGCAGCAGTGATGTGTTAAAGGAGTTAAAAGTTTTCCTGACATAAAATGAGTTTCCCGGAGTGTTTTCATTTTGCTGCTTTGCTGCTCTTACTTTTTCAAGGGCTGTATGTTCCACTTTGGGTACAAGTTGTACAGTTCTGCTTAGAGTGAATAATAAATTCCAGGAAATGTTTTTTTTTTTTTCCTCCCTCAGTGAATGTTATTGATCTGATACCCAATTCTTATCTATTTACTGGTGCCTTTCAGGGTAGAATAATCAAAACTAAATTGCACAGGAGGGGCTCAGCCCTCTGACAATGGATTAACCGGATGATTGGCTGGATCCAAAACTAAATTCAGTGAAAATCAGATGCTGAAAAACAGTAGGGTTTTTTTTTTTTTGGTTAAGACTTACAACTCATAAAAACTCACTTTGGCATCCTATATTGTGCAGACCATTAAACTGATTAATACAAATGTCACAAATGTGCTAAAATATAGGCTAACAAAGTACAAAATTTGTTAACGTTTGCATTATCCTTCCACATAACTTTTCATTCGTTTGATTTCATGCCCCACTTTCATCCTTGTAGAGATTCAGTGACTGAACAGTCAGATCAGCGTTGTTGGTAGTTTGATGGCAGGTTTCCTGACCACAATTTGTCTGAGAAACGTAATGTTGGGTTTTCATTATCTTAACTTCTTGAAATTAACAGAGCGCTCAAAGTTTCGATTTAAAAAAAAAGTTTCTCAAATACTTAACCACCACGTGTAGTCAAGGCTATACCACCATCTTCTGGTTGAGTGTGGAACTGCATGTTTTTCCTTAAAAAGAATCAGGTAAAACCAGAACAGAATAACTGGAGTCAAGATTATAACAAACTTTATGTGTTTTTCTTTTTCAAAGATGGTTTTACAACAGTGCAAACAAACCTGGAAAAAAAATCCTCAGCAGTTCAAAGTCTTACTTTTTTTTTTTAAAATGTTCCTCTTGATACTTTTCAGTAATCTAACCACTAAAATGAAATGATACCGACAACCGCATTCAAGTTTTCCCACATTTTATGATCGGCTTCTGAGGACAAGTGAAAATGCATAGTACCAGCCTTGAATTGTGTCTAAATTCAGCTGAAACTCCTCGCATGTATCTTCAGCGTCCTCCAGGAGCTCGTATGCAAACATGGTTTAAACGACCCATTTGTCAGCGACTGACTGCTTATGCTGTGAAAGGACTTGAGGGCGAGGTGTCGTCTTTACGAGTTCCCTCGTGCTAAGATGAGTCCACAGTTACAGTGAAATTAATTGCTCCGGAGTTGGGCACTGATGAATGGTTGGGGGCTTTGGTCAGTGAACTGTTCATGTGGATGGTGGAAGAGGGATAGATGGTGGTGTGTGAATTAACAGCAACGGGTGGATAAATGAAGTCGGAAGGAGTAACACTGGAAACTGCGGCTGGAAGGTTGAGAGGAGGAAGAGCTGCAGAGAGCAACAGAAATAAAGCTGCATTAGAAGATTTATTTTATCTTTGAGTAAACATAAAATGCATCTTTCAAATCCTGACCGTATTTATTAGACAAACCCTTAGTTAAAAAGGTAATCATCCTGCTTGCCAAGTCAGGGGTTTACTATGATTAATTGCAAGACCTGTAATATCAATAAAAGACTCAAATGGAACCTGTCTGACAACATGAAGTAGGCGAAACAACTGCAAAAGGAAACAAACAAATTATGTTCAAAGACATGGAGATCAGTATGGAAAAGGTTACAAAGCCGATTCTAAAGCTTTGGGATTGCAGGAAACCACAGTGACAGCCATTTCCCATAAATGGAGAAAAATGTTTATGGTAATGAACCCTGCCAGGAGGCAAAATTACTGGAAGAGTGCATCTGCAATTCATTCAGGAAGTCACCTAGCAACGCAGCATCTAGAGCTCTGGAGGCCTCGCTCAGTACTCATGAATCAATCTCACACAAACGAAGCAAACGCGGCATCCGTGGGAGAGAAACCTCTACTGACCAAAAAGAAAACAAAGACCTGTCCCACATTTCCACAAAAAAAAAAACATCCTCATGCTCCCCAAGACTTCAGGAAATATTCTGTGGACTGTTGAGAAAAACAAGTGTGTGCATCTGACTCGGGAAAAAAATAAAACAACCTCATACTGACTCAAACATGCAATAATGTGAGGCACTGCTGCTTCAGGACCAGAATGACTTAAGTCGTAAATTCTGCCATCTATCAGAAAATCCTGACTCTGATCAGTTTATCACAGAGTTTAAGGGGGGAATTTTTCACATATGCGCATGTTGCTGTGGATGGCCTTTCTCTGTCAATAAATTGAAAACATACAAACACAAGATGGCTTAAAAGAATTTTGAAATATTACACGCCATCAAGCATTTTCAGCAAATGAAAATGTTTAAACAAGAGGATGTGTGCGATACAAGCAGCTACTTTCACTGTATTTTTGTGAAATACAAAACTTCAAACGGCATTCACAATTATTAAGAATCTAAGCACAGAGAGGTGAAGCGCAGCATACCGTCATGCTGTGTCCCAAGTCCAGGCGGCAGAACATGACCCACTTCAGGCAAAGCAGTGTTTAAGTTCGGGAGATTAGGAAAGGCTGGAATAGCTCCAGAAAGGGGAATCAAGCCTGAGCGACAAGAAATCAAAGCAACTTTAGACACAGACTGGAGTCCAGGTGTTTATAAAAACAGCAGCAATCCCTTTTTTTTTTCTTTTTTTTCCCCAACTAACACACACAATTTAAGTTAATTGGCAAAGTATCCAAACTAACAGCAGTTTCAATGATCTCGTTTCTAAACTTGTTGCAGAACTTTTAACATGTAGTGTGATGCCGTCAATAGCTCTGGTATTCGAGATAATTATATGACGTACCTAACGAAACCCTTGGTTCATTTTCTTTAGCCGTTTATTCTTTTGTGCAACATTTGGATACTTGTGATGTAAAAAAAAAAAAAAACAAGCTCACAAACCTGGTTGTGTTGCAGCACCATTTATAGTCACAGGGAGCGTTTGTTTGGGAATTACATCTTTGGGCGGTGGGATGATGGGAAATCCTGAAACAGCAGGATGGTAGTAGAAACATGTCAACGATGGGGGTGGGCAGGGACGAAAGGTCAATTTAATACGACTGGTAGATCCAGGATTGGCCAGTAAAAATTTGAAAGAATCCGATTTAAAAAAAAATCAGATTCAGTGTTTTACCTGTCGGCGTGTTAACGAGGACAGCCGTTGGCTCAGAGCTGACTGACAAGCTGCTGAGAGGCTGCTCTAATCCAGTTGGAGCAGAAGACGAGACGACAACTGGAACGGTTGGAATGACAGCAGAGAGTTGGACCTGGTAACCAGAATTTCTTTATCTCTAAATGTCATCAACAAGATCTCGACAGACATGAAGCAATATGTAATTTTTCCGGATTGAGTTGCCACGGACACATCACCTTACCTCCGTGTAGCCGTCTTTGGGTATATGAGACGCCTTATGATTCTGCGAAGGGAAACGGGAGTTCTTTTCCTCCTTAAGCGTAGGTATCCTGTGCAGGTAACCAAACCCAATCTTGCATCCGAGACTGCGGAAACAGAAATGCGGACAAAACAGCAGAACGGCTCAAGAAAGGAAAGGTTTTTTTTTTTTTTTTTTTTCCCAAAATAAGATGCTGAACCAAACCAAACTCGTAGTGAAACTCTGAAAGCAAAACTAAAACATTTAATGATTTAACACATTAATAGCTTCAAGTTCAGTTCAGTCACAAATAAACTCTAGCAGAAATTTTAACCCAGGACCTGTCTGGGTCTATGAACAGCAGATAAGTCAGGGGTCACACATTCACCCGACTTGTCAGCATCTTAGTCTTTTGTTTATAATCAAGTATTTTTTTTTTTTTGTTCGTTTTAATGCAATCTTGACTCTGAAAAGTCTGCTTTTGTCACGCACATGGAAAGCATTCCTTGACAGTCAGCCGGCGGGTGAACTGGGTCAAAATGACGACGCAGTAAAGTGGGAGGAGTTTTCAAACGTCTGGCCTGCACGACGAGTTTCAAAGGGATGTGCAAGAGCCTAATATATAAAACTCTGGCTAGTTGAAGACCAGATCTTCCTCCAATGCAGTAAAATCACTACCGTTCCTACTGCTGGAGGAGAAGCATTCAAGGTACGTCTTGCCTGATGCACCAGTTGACAAATAGTATGCAATCCCGTACTCTGGTATTTCCTTCAGTCATGCCAAGCTGACAATCCTGCTTGAAGATAAATGACTAGCCAGGGGAGTGTCTTTTTCTATTCTTGGCTAAAGATGGGAGAGAAAATCAGATTTCACAATCACTTTCAGGAGGCACCATATGTATCCTGCACCTGCTTTTTGGAATTAGGTGAAGTTTCATTCATGCATCTGGCCCATAAAGATTCAAGTAGAGAGGAGGCAGATTTGCACCGGAGGCAATTAGGTTTTGTGCCTCTTTTTTTTTTATGTCGCAGTAAAATGATCAGCAAAGGTAATCTCTCCAATGTGTTTTCAAAAAGTATGACCTGAATTTTCCATTGTCAAAAGGCAACGTGGATCGTTTTCTCCGCGCATCATACCTGCCATCTCCGCCCCAGTCGGAGTTTGGGGTGATGATCACCTCGCGGCAGTTGTCTGCGTCTGTGTTGTAAACGTAGAGCTTCAGCTCCTTCCCTTCGTGCGCTTCGACGAGAGAGAACAGGTCTTCGTTCTGAACAAAAACACAGGCCAGGTATAGATATGTAGCAAATTTGATCTTAAGTGCCTAGTAAAAGTGTCAGTCCACACAGTAAACAAAGCGGTGGCAGCGTCGTGTTGTTTGGATGCTTTGGTTCAGCAGATACAGGAGCAAATCTTGACAGAAAACCTGTCAGAGCTTCACTTTCAGAAGGATGTCAACCCTAAACATTAAGCCAAGAACTACAATGAAATGTTGTAGCTCAAAGCATATTCGTGTGTTCAAATGGCCTAGTCCAAGTCATGACAACCTGCAACTTGAAAACGGTTGTTCTCAGATACTCTTCGTCCAATCTGACATTCCTCTTTGTAGAAAAGAATGGGCAAACAATGAGGCGCTGGTAGAGACAGAGCAAAAAATGAGATGCAGCTGCATTTGCAGTGAATCCACAAAGTACCGACCACTGAATATAAATGCACTCCACACTTTTCAGATTTGTACTTCTATTGAAAAAACACGTAGAGACCGAAGTATAATTTCAATTCAAAATTCTTCATCACTCCGACATGAAATTGCCAAAAAATAAAAAAAATTCTGATGTTTGCAGTTGAAGAGTAAATCGTTTTGCAAGCCGCCACACAAAAGACTTCCAATCAGCACAGAGGGCGTACCTCACGCATAGCCGTGTCCGCTCCGATTATGTAGTCAACGTAGGGCCTCAAATCAGCCAGGCCTGCAGGAGAGTTTGGCTCCACCTCCTCAATAAAGAAACAACACACGCAAGCATTAACTCGGTGGATCTGATGGCAAACAGAGCTTCAACGAGACCTGCACACTCACCAAGACGTGCCAAACGTTTTGATTGGCCCTTTCAAAGCTGCAGAAGCGAATGCTGAGCCCCAGAAGGCCCTGGCCGCCCCACGTGTTGCTGGGTGTGATGGTCGTCTCCCGGACAGTTTGCGTTCTGCTGTTGTACAGCAGCATCTTGACGGGCCTCTCCACGTTCACTCTCAGCAGCTCTTTCAGGGTGTCGTTGTCCCTGTTCTGTTGCGAACATACTTTAATACTTTAAAAATCAGCGCTCAAACAGGAAGACGGCCGTCCGAGCCCTGGATCGGGATGCTTCACATAAACACCTACCAGTCTAGTGTCACAAACTGAGATGATAAAATCGAAGAATGGCTCCAGTCGTGCGTGGTAACCCGGGGAATGTTCCTGCACCTGAAAAGGTTCGCAGGGGTTTTCAGTTCAGGACAAGCGCACCAAAGCAGAACAATTAGGAATGAAGAATGAAGACGTACGTCCGGTCCTTCAAGCAGACCGTACATGAAATCCTGTTTGATATGTACGTTTTGTGCCAAAGCAGCAAAGAGAAGATAAAACATTTAAACCAACAGAGACCGGAGTAAGATGAAAACAGAATATTTGACATTGCATGGGTATGTGCATTAGTCACTGAAAAACTAGGCTGTTATGCACCTAAATAAATATAGGCAGCCAATTATAGAAAAAAAAAAACCCACACTGTCCATATTTAGAACCATCTTTGGCATGAATTGAATTCTTCACATCAGCCTCTGGGATCTCGGCTCACTTCGCTTCGCCTCGTTGGCTCAGTTCACCGACGCCTGCGGGGATTTGTTGTAAAGTTTCTGTGATGTAATTTTAAAGAGGCCCAGGTCAGACTTTGGAATGGGTTGTTTAAAAAAAATAAAATAGATACAAATTTAGTTCTGTTTCATACATTTTTTTTTCATAAATTTGACAGCTGAAAATGAATTTAGTGAATTATGCCCCACAGTCCAGCTTGGACATGAATACATTTTCTGAAATTGAGTATCTGGCCCTTTTGGAAATTTTATAACTTGTCTTCCATTTGAAGTGTTGTGATTAGTTGAATATGATGTCCAATGTTTCCTACAAATGTCCATAGAAAATGGTTTCTTATTATTTTTTACCTGCTACAGCAAAATAAAGACTATTATTCAGTTTTTCCATTTTTTGCAGACTTGTCACTGAATAGCTTTTGATTTTTGCCTCCACAGTACATTTATCTTTGTCTTATAGTTTGGCCTAACTTCCTTATTATACAGCCTTTACTGTTGGACAGCTGGTTTCTCAGCTGGCCCTAAAAAACATTAATGAAGAAAGGACAAGAGGTTTCAGTCAAACAATGCAAGACACCCTATTGTCGTCCTGATTTTACTATATGCAATATTAAAATGTCAAGGATCTGCTTGAACTGCTATGAAATAAGCTGCTATATAAGTATTATGGATTCAGGCTAAGGTAGTAATACATGACTATATAATACTGTTGTCGCATACAGTAAAGACTTGAGCACAATTTTTGGATTCTCTACCAAATGGTTCCTCTTAGTAAGTTCAGGTAAAAAAGGCAAAAAGGAGATAAAAACAGTGGCGTTATTATAAGACTTTCTTGGTATTTTTTTTAAATAGTCAGTTGAGCATCCTGGGTATGTGGACTTTCTAAGACGTTTTTTTAAAGAAGCAAATAGAGTTTTGTCCTCTTTGAGTCTGAGAAGCTCTAACTTAATGACCTCAGAAGGAAAACATACAATCCTCTGGGTTAAACGCGTTTTATGGTGAAGCAGGTTTAACTCGTCTGAAGAACAAATAGGTGGTGATGAATGACGGCGACACGTGGCTCTGAGCAAGAACAGAGGCAGATTTAAATCACCCTAACGTTAACAAGAGCATTTTCCACTCTTTATCTTACAGAACTGAGATGTCTGAGAATAAATTGACTACAATCAAGGGATTACATCGTGGATAATCTGCACTATGTCAACAAACCGCACCCTAAGAGTTTTAAGGCTTTTCGGGGTCACTTTTCAGTTTTCCTCATCAGTTAAAACAGCAGATCTTTACGCAAAGGGGAAAGGTCACTGCAACGCCAGCCAGCAGGTCAAACTCGTTAAAAAATATATATTAAAACGAATTAATGTAAATAAAGGTCATCTTTGTCATACGTTACGCCAGTGACTGTTGATTTTACATGGAGACACCTGCCTTACAAGTTTAAAAAAAAAAAAAAACAACAAAAAAGAAAAAAACCCGCCCAGTTGTTAAATGCCGTTTATAAACGCTCCAGTCTTTGTCTATGTTCTCTCTGGCAACCTTCAGTCTGACCAGCAGGTTTTTCTTAGAAAGCAAAGGTCTCCTAATTCTTCTCATGCCTCTTTAAATCCCTCACGAGCCTCGAGATTTTTGGAAACCAGGCAAATGTCCTTTCAAATATTTAGCAACAAAGTTTTTCTATTGTGTGCAACTCATACGACACATCTAGTGTGACTCTAGCCATTATTAATAGGAATATATATATCTGGGTATCCAATTTTATTTCTCAGAAATTGAGATTTTTTTTTTTCAAATTACATTTTGCAAAACAACTTTTAAAATTAATTTTAAAGATGTAAGCTTTTTAACAAAATATACAAACGAAATGCACAGACTTTCATTTGGTGACCTGTTTTCCACACAGCAGTATGCCTGAATTTTTAAAGGTTATATTTTGCAAAAACAATGCCAAAATATATGAAAATAATAATTTTGGTCTGATAAATGCACATTTCTCTTTTGCTATATTAACTAATGGCTTAACCTTAGATTTGCTTAAATACGTTAAACTCAAAATCAAAAACACTTTGGAAAAAAAATCCTGACTCAAGGGATCATATTTCATGCACGAAAGGTTTGAGATTAATTTTAAATAAGTCACACCATTATTTGGTTGTAATTGGTTTCAACTTTCTTCGTATAAAGCTTTAGTATAAGAATATATTATTTTGGTGTTGAAATATTGGATATTGAAATCACAGCTGTTGACCTTTATCGCTCCTTAGGTTTGGAAATAATATACATTTATTGCTCCTAAAGAAGAAAATAACAGATTAGGGACAATACGCTTTGATGCAAAGCCCTACTTTTTTGTTTGTAATTTTCATAAAGAAAAAAAAAAGGAATGAAGAGAGACTGACAACACGAAGTAAGCTAAAATATCTTAAAAAGGATCCCATCTGGTCCTGATATGGGTAAATGATTGAGAAACAGAGTCCTTGACATGTTTACATTTACATTATTCTTATCTGACCTTATAGTTTTCTTGTTTTTGAGCTCAGTTGGTTTTAGTAAAGCTTGACCTAATTCTGCACTGAGTGGGTCCCAAGAGGATCTCCAAATGATATTTGGTCCTCAGTCCAGAGTTGGATGTGCAGATAAAACTATCCCAGGAATCCCTTCTATTCAGACTAAAGGTGGGGACAGGACACACCTTTCCCCATTAGTCATGTAGTGGCCACACCGGTTATTCTGGCATCCAGGAGAATAATCTCCTGAGAGCTGCGAATCGAAGATGAGAACGGCACAAACAGGCATTAAACACGTCCAACATTTCATTTAATTTCATTTCATTTCAATTCATAGATGCATTCATCTCCTGACGCACTCCAGTGAAACCGGAGCGGACGCCTCCGCGTCAGCCTCGTTAATCTGCTCCACGTTAAAGACGTGCAGCTGTTTTCACTTGGATTCACATCTGAAGCAACGAGGAAACGCTTCCTATGGCGGACGTATATCTCCGTATGTGAATCCTCCTCATGTTCCCCCATTAGATACAAACCAGCGCACCGCAGTGTGAACGTGTGTCTTAATTTCATAGAGGAGCGTTAATGTTAGCCGCGCAGGCGACCATTGCAGCTGCTCTTACCCGAAGGACGTGGTAACCTTCGGACCCTCCACCGGGGATCTGGACGCTCTGAGAGGCCCCCATGTCCCCCCCTGAATCCGACCGCCGCGGTGGGATATTTGCGCTGGTTTAACAGGCGGCTCCGTCGGGAAGAGTCATGTCGTGATTCCTGTCGTTCGTGGTGTCCTGCTGCTGCACTTCCTGTGCTGCAGTCCTCCCTCCTCCCTGCCAGCTGTGTGATGACAGCATCTCCCGAGCTATGATGTCACCGACTCCAAAAATACGACACGCAGGTGTATCTCAGTGAATTACAATAGGCAAGTTCGAACATAATTAAATTTCATGATCGTACTGACATAACATAAGCCCAGTCAAAAATGAAAGCGGACAGAAATAAGAAAAAAAAAGGTAATGCCAGGACACGACAGCCATTAACACCTTTCAAGTGTAACACCTGGATTGGTCATTGCTAAAGAGGCTAATTGTTCACAAAGCCTTGTATCCATGCATATTAATGGAAAGTAACGCGGAAGGAAAAAGTGCGAGATAACTGCAATCTCAAGAAGATTGTGAATTTCAACAGGTTGTGGGATATTACTGCTTGAAGTGCCATTTCTTCTCCAGCTGCTTGTCAGTCAGATTTTTATCAGCAGAAGCCTCTTACCAAGTGGTACACCTTCCAGATAAAAGTAAATTTTGCATTTCATTTTGACAGCGAGTTCAAGAAATTGAAAATTCCCAGTTGTTTAAAAGCTGAAGGTTCTGAAGTAGTTAGAATCTCAAACAACTTGCTGCATATTAGTGGTTTGTTACATTTATTGTATTCTTTTTCCTGTAAGTTGAACCATTCATATGATTTATAGTTTTGCTTTTTAAACGTCACTATTTCAGTCCATTTCTTTTTTCAATTTGCTCAATGTCAAGATTTCCATATGTGTTTTCTTTTCTTTCTTTCCTTTATTACCCTAAAATCACTAGCCTGTTTGTACTTTCTCTAATTTTGACACCCAGATCTCCGGTGCTGAATTAACTCCTCAGAGTAAATTTCCAATCATTGACTGCTTCAAAAAAACCGTTTGAGGTACATATTCTCCCCAATATAAAGATGTTCCTACTTTTAAATATTCCTACTTCTTTTGAATCGTCCTTTGATGCCCGTCTTTAATTTTAGCGGAACGATTCTTGAAGCAGTAATATCAACACAATGCTGCCCCCTACCACAAATCAGATGAACTGCAAGCTGCTTGGAACAGCAACTTTGAATAAGTGTCCCGTTCATTGCAATAGAATAGACTAACACGAATTCATGTGTTTCTGTAGAAGTTAGGGGCGTCAATGTGTGTGTTTCAATAACTTACTAAAATAAACTAGAAAACCAAACAAACAAAACAAAAAAATAAAAACAATTGCTGGATATGTATCCCTGTCAAAGAAATATCTTATTTACAAATTAGATTTCAGAAAAACAAATGGGCATACAAAGAAAAAGGTAAAAAAACAACAACAAAAAAACAGGTATTTGCTCCCTTTGCTTCAGGTATAATTAGCAAACTAGAATAGTAGTTTTTCCATAGAAGACATCTGTAAAGGTCAGACATCTGTGAGGGTAAAAGAGTTGAACATGCAACCTCTTCAGGAGATTGCAGTCACAGGATCTAGAACAGTTTGGATAAACTTGTATGAGTCACAGCAAAACTGATTTCCCCTTTGGAGTCGACAAAGCGTTTTGAATTGAATTAAATTTGAACTGATGAGAACAAAAACTGCTGAGCAACTGAGGCTCATGTTCAGAAACAATGATCACCGACTTGCCAGCAATGTGTGTTTTCAAATAAATTAAACATCCCCCAAGTGAAGTGATTCAGCGACTGCAACTTTTTTTATTGTTTTCTTACAACTGAAATAGAAATGTTTGGATTTTAAACTATTTCCTATTATTTTTAAGTTTCCTTTTTTAACAAGTGGTTTCAAAGAGGAGTTCTATTGTTATTCCAGAGCGGTGGTGTGGTGTTTTGCATGGAGACACTTACCCTTTCAAGCTGTAGATAAATAAACTCCAGAGTTGAGCAGCTGCTTGGTGATGCCTTGAAAAAAATAAGACCACTGCTCTGGGTCGCTGCACTAAAATTACTATTCTGCACTCCCTCAAGATTTTACAACTAAAGCTGCAAAAAAAAAAAAAAAAAAGAGGGTAATACCATTTTATTTTGTCACTTTAACCACAAAAATCCAGCCTGCAAGAAAAATGGTGGACTTCTGTGCTGCAAACAAAACTAAAGCTACAAACATCCTGAGCCATTGATGTCTGAGACAATGTTGTACATCTTTTAGAGGTCCAGGATATTTTTGTCTAATATATAAATGCTGATGTATTTGCTCTCTGCTCCACAAGGAGACAGAGAAAAAAAAAATGCAAATCCGATTTAAATAAAAGCCTAACTATGTATAAACATTATGTATAAACTTAAACTTTTCCACTTTTTCTCACATTGCTGCCTTATAGTTTAACCATTTTTTGTTAGGTTCTTCTATGAAAGACCAACATATAAGACCAAATGTCCGGTTAAGACACAAATGGACTATATTTACTAATTACTTGACTTCTGAAGGCAGCTGGTTGTGCTCGATTTTTTTTATTGTTTATTTATTTTTAGAGAGATCATAACGTAGGGGGTTGAACACAGCTGCCGGAAACACTTTTCACATTTTTATATGTTCACCTTGAAACCATGTATCATTTTCTTTCCACTTTGTAATTACGCTTTATTTTGTGTTGGTCCATCACATAAAACCACACTTCAAAGTATTTTTCTTTGAAGTGTGGCTCCAAACGGACAAAAGGTGGAAAAGTTCAAGGAGTATGGAAACTTTGGCATTGTAATTTGAACGACATCACATGTGTTCCCTGCTAGTCTGCTCTGTTTTATTTTTTGTTTGTTTGTTTTTTTTACAGGAAGTAGAAATGACTTACTGATCCTGCAGAAAACAGCTTGTTTTCTTTATCAAGCCTGTATAACAATCCCTTGCCAACATAATCTTGGTTTTTTGGAGTCAGTAAGCTGCAGTATTTCTGCCCAGAGGCTCATATCCTTTCCCCCCACCCCCCCAAAAAACAACAACAACAATAAAACACCCAGTTGTTTTACTAGAAGCCATTAAAAAAAAAGAAAAAAAAAGAAATGCCACATTAGATTTGCAAGGAAATGGACAAGTTATTAATCTACATCTCAACATTCAGTCTCCACCAATATTGATCAGTCTATGGACACATAATCATTAAGAGAAGGCAATTTAGATAAGATTTAGATTTAGAAGGCCATTTATAATTGGTTATAATTATAACCAATTATAATTAGCTGAGCAGATGGAGGCCTTAAGGTGTTATAATTGATCCGGTTATCAGCATTTAGTCAAGTGCAGTTAGTGTTTTGGTTTAACCATAAAAATGCTCAAATTACGTTGGTACCTAAAGACGAATTAGCTAATGAGTGATTCTTCTTCATGCACAGGGCACTTTCACAAGCAAAGCTGTTATCAAAGCTAACAATAATGATAATGTAGGGCTAAAGCTAATTCAAAGAGAAGCATTTAGTCTGCTGAGCTGTGTGTGTGAGCAGCGTGAGGATGAAGGAGGGGGAAGGGCTGGCAGGCAGCCTGCAGTCAATATCATCTTTTCATTAGACTTCCCTCACACAATGGGAGCGTCAGTATCTATCAGGAAACTAATGTGGCAGTGATTCCCAAAGGCGGGAGATATATTTAGCACATCAGGGAAGGGCTGACAAGATCCATGGATTCATGAGATACAGAGAGAGAGACAGAGCGACAGAGAAGGGAAGATAAGAATGAAGAGGAGAAGGTGGTCAGTGACTCAACATGGAAACCTTGCTCAAAATTTCCACCAGACTGATGTCTTTTAAAGGAAAAAAAAAAAAAGCATTTATTCTCGTCTAAAGAACGTT